CTACATACACACTCGTAGGAAAATAAAGAGGAGGGGACACCCCAAACCATCCTAGGAGGCTCACGCTACGCTCGAATCAACACAGAACAAAAGTGTCGCAAGAAAACCACACTACAGACCGACGTGCCTCGTGAACACAGACGAACGCGTGTGCACACACGTGAGTGCTATCAGAGGAACAGAAGGCTGATCTAACGTCTGGAAAATCAAAGGAATTCACCACGTGAACAGACTGGAGAACGAAAACCACACGATCCTTGCAACAGAGGCAGGAAAAGCAGCTGAAACTCACGAGATGGACCATTTTCAGGTGGACAAGTTAGCGCACCGAGCACATTGACGGTGTGGTGCGGCCACCTGTAATGCCAGCCTGACCCGGTCGGCACTGCCTCCCCCGGCCCCCTTCTTCCGGCCCCTGGCTGGAAGGCAGCCCGCCAGCCTCCGTGGCCAGGTGTCTCGTGACACACAGCCATGCAGTGTGGGACTCCTCCTGTGTAGCATCAGCAGGTGAGCTGAGGAACGCGCTCCCATGGCGACGACACAGCCCTAAGAAGCAGGGACACAGCAGTACCAACTGTGACAGATGTGACCTCGCCTCACGGCGCTGAATCCCAGGTGTGGGTATGGCCGCTTCCTCCTGGAGGCCCCCCAGGGAGAAGCATGTCCTCCTGCCCGTTCTTCTCCGAGAAGCGCCACATCCCCGCCATCACGGGCCAACCGGCCCGTCCACCTCCCGGGGTCCGACCCTCCTGGTGCCCTCCCACAAGGACTCCTGGGCTCCGATGGGTCACCTGGAAAATCCAGGGTCATCTCCCCCACCTGCCGAGTCCCCTCGACCATGTGAGGTGACCCAGGTCAGAGGTGCCGGTGTGAGTCGTGGACATCTTTTGGGAGCCGTTCTTCTGTGTACCACACAGACGGACCTCAAACCAAAATAACTACGCCGAGTGAAAGGGCCAAAGAAAAAGAATACTAGGATTCTGTTTGTGGAATTCCAAAAAGGAAACAAAAATCTGGCGACAGAAGGTGGAGCACGTGAAGCAGAGAGATGGGGTGGGGGCACACAGAAATGCTGGGGGGACAGAGGCATCCCTCATCTGGACCGTGGTGACACCGTGCTCATCAGAGCATGTGCCCACACTCACGCGGGCTGCGGGGACGCTGACCAAGGGCACGTCTCACGGGCAGTTACATGACTAAACAGACCACACCCGCGACACAAGTCTGGAACCTTCAGCCTCACAGCACTTTTCACAACTGGTACCATCAACGTTATCGCTTCAATTTTCATCTGCGAACTTCTGCCTTCATGAGGAGGGTCCCTTCCCGGCGCCCAGGCTCACGTGAAGGGGAGTCAGGGACACACAGGCTCTCATGATGGTCCAGTCACTTGGCCTCAGGGTGTGCCCCCTCCCCCCAACTATTTCTACGGCCAGCCTGCTGCCACGGAACCTAGTTCAGACCCGGAACTCATTACGGATACTACAATGCCTTCCTAACAAGCTTCCCTGCTTCCAGTTTGCGGCCCGCTCCATCCACGCTCTGCAACACTGGCCCCTCCAAGCGGCCATGCCAGCGGCCCAGCCACGCAGGGCTGTCCCACCTGCCCGGTGTCTCCATGTGCTACTCACCGTATGTGGCCTCTCTCTCCCTCTTCCAGAAGGCTAGCAAGTCTGGGAGGGGGTGGGGGCCCTCCGACCTGTGCCTCCCGAACGCACGCCACGGCACCGCGGGAGCCTCCCCTGCCCGGCCGCTGGGGGCCCAGAGCCTCGCGGGAAGGAAGGGCCCCACTACCCCTAGGGGCATCTGCTCTGGTTCAGACAACCACTCCCCAGGTCCCCGCTTCCCCCTAAACCTTCTTTCCTCTGCGCACAGCCCCACGTCGACCTGGTCTCCCCTGCCGCACGTGCTCAGCGCACATAAGGGCGCCCTCCGGCTGCTGTCTGGTCTCCCCGTCATCACTTGGACACCGCACAGGCTCGTGGACCCCCGAACCCCATGGGAAGTGCCCTCCTGTACACCGGGCAAGCGCTCTCCCCACCAAGCAGATGGACACTTTCCTTTTGCCTGGACTTGGTTTCCATGTGCTCACAGGCATGTGTTCCCTGTCCCTGGGCTCCTCGGTGCCACCCCTCCCCTGCAGGGGCCCCGCTCTGGGTCTGGCTTCAGCCACCACCTCTAACAGTGGACAGGCTGGACGAGACTTCCTCCGGGAGCCACCAATGGGCCCGAGCACAAGGCAGCACCACGGCACCTGGCAAGGGCGGCAGCTGTGTGGCCCTGCCGTCCCGGCTCTGGTCTCCGCCCTGGTCCCGATGGCTGCAGGGCCTTCCCACATGTGACGCCTTCCCAGCTGCTGAGAATCTGACCCTGGAGGGAAAGCCACGCCAAGCAGAGACAGGCTGGGCTGCCGGCGTCCCCACAACTAGTGTCGGCGGCAGGAGGACCTGTCTCCCATGAACTGGAAATTCCCAGCCAACTGTGGCAAAAAATGAACCCGGGTAGGGCTCCCCCTGATTCCGTCAGAAAACCCAAGTTTTTTCTCAGTGAAGAGTATTTTCTCAGACCCTTTCCCTACCTCTGCGAGTAACGGCTGAAAAGTCAGAATGTCGATTTTTTGTTCCACACATTTCTTAAGTCTATCTGGTATTGGATACTGTGGAAGGAAACTTGGAAGTTGTCGTCTTGAGTTCCTTAAAAAAAAAAAATTCCCGAGTCAAAAGTAATTCTTAATCACCCACACGTTTTCCACCAGCCCTTTTCACTAGACGCCCTTGTCTGCTTCAGAAAGGCTAAAGGTCAGTCAGTAACCGAAACTAACACGTGGACTGCTGGTGTCCATCTGTAGTTTGCAAACTCAGCTGCTCCGGGGCCCTTTCCCTCCCTGGGCCCTCTCTTGTCCTCAAGAGGAGAGGGGCTGCAGCACCCAAGGGCCCCTCGGGTCCCGTGAGTCTGAAACAGCCACTCTTAAGCTTCCCCCCAGCTGGCTCTTCTGCCACTTCGAGCCTGTCAACGCCAGAACCATCCCTGCAATGCTGCAGGACCACACGTTCGGTAGAGGCTGCTCTGATGGGCCCTGCCTTTCCGGTTTCCGCCTGGAGCTTCTCTGGGGAAACAAGCCTCGGCTCGTCCCGGAGAGGGAGGTGCGCAGGTGTCACCGAAGCCGGCCACCGCCAGGATGAGGAACATCACCGCTGCCATAGGTGAGTCTGATAGAGAATGACCAGGAAGGAAGCAGCTGGAAGAAGAGACAGTTGGAAAGACGACAGGGGTCACACGGGAGGTCCGGTGAATCTTCGATGCCAGGCTGTCCAGCCGCGTGAAGTGAAGAAAGGCCATGGGCACTCCTCCCTCATTCCAAGTCCTGCTTCCAGCTCAGGCCTGAGCGCAGAGGGTGGGACACCCGTACCCCTGCCTCCTTACTCCACAAACGGTCACCTCGGTTGTACGTCCCCGTAGCTAGGCTCTGGACGGGAAGGCTGCTTAGAGAGAAGCTCCGTGGCCGAAAGGCCCCTGGAAGCGCCAGGGCCACCAGCAGCAGCACCGGGAAGGGCCGCCACCTCCCAGCTGAGACACGGGTTGTGGCAGGAGCTCCATCAAAGCACGGTGCAAAGTACACGTCAAAAGTGGAGGCGTTCGTAAGTGGCAGCAAAGGGTTAACTATGCACATGGACAGCATAAAGGGGACAGGATCCTCGCCACACAGGCGTTTAGACAAAAGGCCTGAACAGTGTCACGACTTGGCACGCTGAGTTAACAAAACATGTCTGTTTACAGCCTAAAACGGTTGGGAACTCAGCTGAGAAGGTCCTGGCACAAAGAGGCCCTCAACAGACTGGCTAAGCAAACACAGACAATGCCATTCTGGGCGGGGAGCAAAGGTGGCAGGACGTGCGTGGTGGGGTGGTGGGCAGGTGCAGGTACTGGGAGTTCCAGGAGGCCCACGCCAACCAGGACACTCTGGGTCACTACCTTGCCAACAGGAAACCAGTGTCTCCTGGTTTAGAGACACTCCCACACAGCAAACAGAGAAGCAGCTGATCAGGGGACTGTTGGCCTAGTTCATTCCTCTAGTTAAAGCCAAATGATAACAAGAAAGTTGCCTGGCGTACCACTATGTGATAATCTGGGGTTTTTAAATGTTCCTATAATTAAGGCCCTATCATTCAGGATGTTTTCCTGCCTATAGGCTATGGTAACTGCTCTCGTGTTCCACGTTCCATCCCCAGAACATGTCCTTTCCAAGACCAATGGTTCTTACTCCTTACTGATCGCTACTGATCACTCCATGTTGGAAACTATGTCTTTTACATATCTCACCTCATTTAATCTTTGTAACCAAGTGAGGGAGAGACTATCGTTTTATGAATGAGACCGAGGTTCAGAAAGGCTAAGAAATGAGCCCAAGGTCACACAGCACCTTGGTGGCAGTGCTGGATTCAAATAATGATATAACCCCAAAGCCAACCACATACTACTCTAATAGTTTTTTTCTTTAGTCTGCAAATTAGCAACATCCTTCACACCTTACCTGAAATTGTTACTGGGCAAAAATGTGACCTGACATTCAGGGTTTTCTAATATTAGAAGGGAAATACCCATTACTCCAGGAACTCTGGGCAGGACCGAGGTTAAACCTGTCAGTTCCTACGGGGGGGGGGGGGGGGCGGGGGGTCTTCACATCACTGAGCAAAGTCGGGAATCGTCCTCACATCCCTGTCCGATTTTCTGGCACCAAACTTCAAAACAATCTGCTTTGTGGAGATTTCTGGGTCCAGCAGCAGCAGACGGAGCATGTTGTCCTGTAGCACTTTCTGGAAGCCTCTCCCTCAGTCCCTGCCTGGGCGGTCGCCCACCAGCCACATCTTGTGGCCCCCTTGCTGACGGGTGCCTCTGGGTGCCCGTGTGGGATGCGGGATGTCTCAGTAGCCAGGCTGGGCTGCTGGGAACATAGGAAGCTGGGGGGTGGGGTGGGGAGCAGCCGGGGTGGAGTTGGGGCGGAGAGGGGGCACAGCCTACTACTCCGTCCTCACCCTGTAGAGCCATTCTGCAGACAAAACTTGACGAGCATCGTGAAAACACACCCCTCCCCCAAGCAAGGCGACTGAAAGGCACCCGCCACAGTGCCCCCCCACCGCTGCTCTCCAACAACACAGCAGCCACACGCGTCTCTCACACCCCACGAGCGCACTGTGGATCCTGAGGTCTTTTCTGCTCACGGTACCTTTTCTGTGCGGTCACGACAACTGTAGTTTTTGTGGATGTTAACGTGGGAGTAGTTTTAGACTTCTTCCAGGAAAACGGTTCTCGGACGGCTACTAGAGACTCCTCCCCGCTGACCACGTTCACCTCCAGGAACCGCCCGATCGTGAAGCTGGAGAAGCAGAGCAGGAGGAGCTCCCTGCAGCGGCCTGGGCTCCTTGAGAAGACAAAACGCATCAGAGTTGTGGTCAGAAGACAAGCGGGCCTGACAGAGTTTCCCTTCGTGCGCATGTGTGACAGGGGCTACGAAACCACGGTCACCCCTAGTTTTTACTAATTCTTCTCAAAGGAAGAAAGGAACTTTCAGAAGCAAGGAACGTATCATTTTCCTATGATCAAATCAGCCACAGAAGCTGTAATTCTCAAATTTAAGAACAACAGGAAAGACAGTGTCGTGAGACAGTGTCGTCAAGTTTTAATCAGAACACGTACAATGTTACCAGAAATCTTGTTTTCACTTTGCTTTCTGCCCAACTTCCTCCTGCTGCTGTAATTCAGGTTCTACTGGACGCTCCACACATTGTGCTCACCTACTGCCTTTTCACAGATCTCTTATCGTCACATTAAAGGGATCCTTTAAAGTGGTGGCACCACATACCGCTGACTGAAGGGCAATCTGTGTGAATGGTCAGTCATCCATGGGTTTGAAGCAAGGTGGCGGTTTAATCAGAGTCACATTTTAATGACGACGATGGTGATTCATTTATTTTAAGAGAGACTGCACACGCACAAGTGGGGGAAGGGCAGAGAGACAGGGAGAGAGAGAATCCCAAGCAGGCTCCAGGCTGTTGGCGCAGAGCCCTACGCGGGGCTTGATCTCACAATCCTGGGATCGCGACCTGAGCTTAGATCAAGCGTTGGACGCTTAACTCACTGACCCACCCCAGGTGCTCCCAGAGTTCCATTTTAGAAAAGATTTAGAATTAGCAACGTAGAGGACTACTGAGAAAGGAAGAGGCCTGCAGCCCAGATGCCCAGCTGGCGGGACCAGCGGGCGGTGGGGAGCAAGCAGGCAGGGCTGGGGAGCTCGGGATTCAGGAAAGGAGGAGGAGGAGGAGAAGGACCCTCAGGCTCGCCTGCCTGCTGCACGCAGCCTGCACAGGGAGGGAGGCCTCAGCCCCCTGCCCCGGGAGCCTGCATCGGGGCCAGCTGCCCAGGTGGAGGTGGAGGTGGAGGGCAAAAAGGCCTCAGCTGAGGGAGCAGGAGGGTGAGGGGAAGGGAGGAGCAGAGGCTGAGAGTGCACAACAGGACCGAGGGTCGGAAGCCGGGTGAACGGGGTGGGGGCAGCGGGTCAGGCTTGGGGAGCAACTCCTTGGGTCGGTAAACTCACTAAAGCCATTTTCTCCCCACTGATTTTTCTCAAGGTTTTGGCTCATCAAAATAGTTAGGAATATTCTATAACCTCCCACCTAGAAGTATCACACGGGAAATCTACAGAGACGAATGTACAAATGTTCCCAAAGTAAACTCCCTCCCGACCCTCCAGCCACGTACTTTGCGTCACACATAATCACGATGAGGGTTTTTCCACCTGGAGGGATGAGCCCTCCGGGGTCCAGCTCCGTCGCCTGCTTCCTTGGTGTTGCCTTTTCTTTGTCTCCGTTTTCTCCTTTACAGGTACAGTCATCTGGGAGATGGAATTTAAACCAAAATGAGATCAAGGGGTAGGCTGCTCCTGACGGCAGGTGCTCGCGGAAACGAACGCTCACCCACAGACAGGCACGCACACAGCCAAAGCACCAGACAGCAGCGGACAGCGGGCAGCCTTTCCCGAGTTTAGAACTATTCACGGGAACCAGCACGTCTGAAGCACTTCTGGGATCTGTCGAGCTATTTCTGCTCTTCTCCTCAGCCACAAAACATCAGAGAAGAGCCCAGAACCAAAAAGCTCGCAGTATAATCCGTTGCACCGGCTGGAGTGCTCTGGCCACGTGGGCCCCCGGCCCCCCCAAGAGCAGCTTCACTGTCACGTGGGCCCAGCAGGGCACACAGGCAGCCAAGCCCCAGCCGGCCGAACACGGTAACAGGTGAAACGTCTACCTGGAGAGATGTCTCCGTTGTTCACCAAACTGCTCTCTGATGCCTGAGAGGTTCTGTTTTTTTGGTGGCTGTCTAGAAAGTTAATACTTTTATCTGAAAAATTCTTCTTCTCAGGAATAGGAACAAGAGACCCTGCCGGGCATGTCTGGCCTTTATCCAGCATTTGAAATCTGAATTGTTTAGCTTTATCCCAGCCAGCCAGTTTACAGCTGACTAAGTTTTGAGGAATGTCTCCTTTATTCCTGGAGAAAGAAAATGAGCCATGAATACAGATAAGATCCTGAAGCTAAAATAATCAGCTACCATAAAACACAGAATTCAATCTGATGAGTGAGAGATGACTGTAAATACCTTTGAAAGTAAAAAGAATATTTTAGGCTGAAAAACTAAAAGATTTCCATAAAGGAAAAAATGAACAAAGTAAAGTTGGTTCTACAGAAATTCTTTAAAAAAGTTTTTTTAAATATTTATTTTTGAGAGACAGCACATGAGTCGGGGGGCAGGGGAGCAGGGGAGGGGCAGAGAGATTGGGAGACAGCAGATCTGAAATGGGCTCCATGCTGACAGCACAGAGCACGACATGGGGCTTGAACTCATGAACCATGAGATCATAACCTGAGCCGAAGTCAGATGCTTAACCAAATGAGCCACCCAAGCGCCCCTATTATACAGAAATTCTTAAATCACAACTTAAAACCTGCTAAACGTAACTTTATTTGAGCGCTAAACTTACTCTATCCAGATCACCATATTTTTACTTTCTCCTTCTTTTAACGTTCCAAAATTTGTCAACCTCGTGACTTCGATGTCACCTTTGTTCTTCAGTAAAAGTGCTCCACAGAACTTGTCGGCAGTCTCTTCAAAGGCAGAGGAGTCCCTGGAGAGAGCACCCACAGAACAGCATCACTGGCAGGCATCCTAAAGCACCACTCCCCCCTCTCCCCAGCACCCAGGGAACTTGGATGGGGAAGACAGCAGGAGGAACTGCATCTGGACAGCAGAAGCTCGGCCTTTGTGCTCGACTGGGACTGTCTTTTGGACATTCAACTGGGCAGGCAGACTGTGGGTGTGAGTGGGGAGCACACGTGGGGCCAACGCTGTGGAATGGAGTCCAGCTCATGGAGGGAACCCCCACACACACAGCCTTGGTGCCCCGTGCTGCCCCCAGCAGCCTCTTCTCTGGGCACAGGAAACCTGAGTGGGGTGACAGCACCTAAACTCTCCCAACTCTCCCAGGGCAGAAACACGGGTCTTCTCTGTCCAAGGCAGTACTCCTGGGGCTAGAACAGAGCTGGGCACACAGAGGGCATTTGTTGAGCTTGTGAAGGGCGGGACATTCATCTGTTACAAACTCGGGAAATGGTCACTGACTGCCCAGTGGCTGTGAGTTCCCCGGGATCCAGCAAATTCCCTTCATCCACCGCTCACCTGCTGACCCCCCGCTCTGACCAGCGTCAGCAACGAAGTGGGGACACTAACCTTGCCCATGAAGATGACTATTTGAGGAGGTCAACAGTCAAGGGAGAAGCCTCACGCTTCTGGGATTAAAGGGACCCTCCATCTGGGATTAGAAGGACCCTCCCCAAGGAGAATGAGCACCCCCAGACCTACATCTGAGTCCACTGCAGCCTGGGGGCCACTTGAGGAGACTCCCCAGAAACTGACCATCCACAGCCGGGGAGCCCACTGGTGGTGCCCCTGCCCACTCAACGATGCTAGTCCACACCCACTCTGAGCCACCAAAACAGCAAATCGGTAAACCACAGGGCATGTTAGAAAGTAAATGTTTAAAAAAACCCAGATTGGGCAATAAGAATCTAGAAGAGGAGACAAACCGTAAGTCATTCCAATGAATATACTTGACCCTGAGGCCTAAGATGGCAACTGCTTTCTGTCGACGGTCAGTCATGGACCGGTCACCATCCTACAACTCTCCTGTGCCCAGGGCAATCAGGAGCCTAGTTAAATGCAGTGTTGTTTTCAAGCATTTCTGAGCTTAAACGAAGAGCCGGGGAAGTGCCTGTTTTCACGATATGGGTGTTTCCTTAAATTGGGCGGTGGCTCCAAGTGACCAGTTGCCCACTCCTGCCCCAGGGCTTTGGGCTGCTGCCTGGTGGGAGCAGGACAGAGCTAGCAGGAGGCCCAAGAGCCCAACTCAGATGCGGGCGGGAACCGCTCTCTTCTCGTGGCACCGACCCCGGGCAGCGAGTCCTGCCTGTCTCATGCTCGCACCACCGGGTCCATCAGAGGGAGCCGACACTAGAACTCCTGTGCCTCCCAGGCCTTCTTGGGCTGTGAGGGGAGGTGAGGGCAATGCGTCTGGCTTCACTGCCCCACAGGTGGGCCTGAGTCATTCTCCAGCGGGAAGCAGGGTCCTGTGGGGCAGGGGAACGGGGGGCACCGGGCGGCCAAGGGTGACAGTGATTGCTAGATAGGGTGGGGCAAGGTTCCCACATGGCGGAGTCTCCCCACCCCACACATCTCCACAGCCTTGAGCCAGGCGGTCCATCCTCCTGAGTGTCACGTGCCATCCGTGACCCAGTGGCGCTCCCCGCGGCGCTGCTCCTCACAGTCCCCACATGTGCCCCACTCCCGAGGTGCACGGACAGAGGCAGGTGCTCAGCGCAGAGCAGGACACAGGACACAAATTCCTTCCGGCATAGAACCTGCATTCTAAGTTTATCCTCTAGGAGAGGATAAACAGAGTCACTAAGGGACACGTAGAGCAAGCTCACTGGAGGTTAAGTGCTAAGGAGAGAAAGCGGGCAGAGGACAGGGCAGGAGGCAGGGCAAGGCTGCCGTTTACACTGGGAGCTCAGGGGAGGCCCCACTGTGTGCCATACACACACGTGGACAAGGTGGGAGGTTACTGGGGCCACAGAATGAAAGAAATTCAACAATTCTAAGAACCTACTATGTTCAACACTTTTTTTTTTTTTTTTTTTTTTGGACAGAGAGAGACAGAGCATGAACGGGAGAGGGGCAGAGAGAGAGGGAGACACAGAATCGGAAACAGGCTCCAGGCTCTGAGCCATCAGCCCAGAGCCCGACGCGGGGCTCGAACTCACGGACCGCGAGATCGTGACCTGGCTGAAGTCGGACGCTTAACCGACTGCGCCACCCAGGCGCCCCTGTTCAACACTTTTAAAAAAAACGCCAACCCGTGAAAGATGAACAAAAGATATAAGAACCCACCAGAATGTGAACACTGCCAGTAAGACTAAGGGTTAAGAAGGAACCATTAACTCGAACTTCAATCAGACACAGAGACCGCTGAAAACCTTCCAGAAGATACTCTCCCTTTAACTACCCAGTTCAGGATTTGGACAGGCTATGACCTGAGGTTATTCAAGCAACTCTTAAAGTACACTTATATTGGGCCTCTCCCTTCCCAGAGAAGAAAGCCATTTCCCCATTACCGTCTTTTTACTGGGGTCATGCACAGGGCTCTCCAGACGTAGCATGACTGGCTGCTCTCCACCACCACGGCACTGACCATGTCATGTCTTCGAGGCACATATCCTTCAGCAAGTTTCAGAGAGTCCAAGGTGAAAAAGATGCTGTCGTCTATCACCCCGTTTTTCCCACAGAGGCTAGAAATGCAGACCTGTGAGCACAGCAGCAGACAGCTGTTCAGACGTGTGCATGCCGGGGGCCTCCCTCCAAGACCAGAAACACTTGTTGAACCGAGGGGCAACACCTTCCCTGGGCCCCACTGTAGACCAAGTCCAACCTCTGGCAGGGGTGGGGGGGCTGGTCTCAGAGAAGCAAAGCCATGATGATTTCATGAACGTGGAAGGACCCCGGAGCCAAGGCCGAGGTAGCACGGTGGGAGCATGTCAGGCAGCACTCTCAGCCCCAGTGTCCAGTGGCCAAGCACACCCGCTGTCACGGGCAGGCGCCAGTCCCGCACCCACCCCACTCAGTCCCAGCGGTCACACTTTGACGTGCTGTGTCAACTACACAGCTTAGAGTTTCACGGGATGAGTGAGCCAGGCGACCTCCAATTACGTCCCCGCAGAAACCAGTGCTCTCGGCAGGGAAACGGGGGCTTTTTGGCCAAGACTGAGCCTTACTTAGCTTGACTTCCCAACGCGCCCAGGAGAAGCCCGGGCTGTGGAAACGCAGGAGGACGAGGGCAAGCGAGGGCCAACACCTACCCTGTCCACGCGCTTGTACCTCAGCGGCTTCACGGAGATGGCCTCGCTGATCCATGTGCCTGGCCGGATCCAGTACTCTGCCTCCACCCAGTCTCCCTTGCAGGGCTGGAAACCTGCAGGCAGGGAGACCATGGTGCTTACTCAGTAATGCTGGCAATTATCAACGTGTGCAATTCATTCTGAAGTTCTGATTCACCGAAACCAGTTCCGTCCTCTCTAACGAGCAGTTTACCAATCTTAGTTCTCATCTAGGTTCACCCAGTTGAACGGAGCAGATGCTGTTACAAGACCAACCTTTCCGCAGCTTCACCTTCTCTTGCCTGCGAGGGCAAAGGCAGGGAAATCGGGGAGGGCTGTGGCCAGCGCGGTCACACACCTGGGCTGCACGGTCTCAGGATCCTATCTGCTTTCAAACGGCGCCCACTGTTTTCACAAGTATTACTAACGACTGCAGCAAAACAAGCTGAGCAGCAAATTTCTTACACCTCCAGCTTCTAAGGAGGGCAGGCACATGTGTGGTTTCTCTGCTAGGTGGGCACGCCTCTGTGCCAACTCTTTCCAGAAACAGTGAGTCCCCTCCCCATCAGGTACACACAGAGTACTCGGTGACAAAGGGAAGTGTGCTCAGACCTGAGAGTTGGGGAGCACTCTGTGCCCCTGCCAGATCCCGGGTGTGCCAGGTAGCTGTGCTGTGGCCTGCAGGATGCAAGGTGCCACTGGGCCACAACTGGCAGGGTGGGTGGGAATGTTGGGAAACTGTAGGTTCAGTGACATGACATGGCTTAACCTTCCTGAGGTAAAACACAAGTGGTCTGAACAGGTTTGCTATGATGCTTGGTGTAAAGCTACTACCGATTAGAACCTTTTTGTTATTTTGCAATAAATACTTCTTTTAAAAATATTTCATTTTTTTAAGTAGGCTCCACCCCCAACGTGGGGTTCAAACTCATGACCCCAAGATCAAGAGTCAGACGTTCTACCGACTGAGCCAGCCAGGTGCCCCCGCGATAAATACTTTTGACAGCAATCAGTTCAGAAAACAAAAGTGCATAATTTAAAACTGACTTTGTTTCTCAAGAAAGCTGGTGATCAACACCTAGAGCCCAAACATCTGCTGACATCTACTGATCAGCACGAGGGCCACGGGGGCAGCACTGGTGGTAAGAAACCAGAAGAGACAAACGTGCTGGAGCACCGGCTTCCACGTGAGGTGGTATTTTAAGAGGACACTCCCAGAAGCACAATTTAACAGACCGTAGAGACACGTTTATATGTTGTTTGATAAACCATGGCTTCATTTATCAAATAACTGTTTAATACAATTCTGCTAAATTTTTATTCCAAATCTCTTAGACACACGTGAAAAATGGAGCAATGTGTCAGTTGGATAAAAGTTACTTCAAAGCGAAAACAGTGAAGCAAATTCAAGTAACAGTTTGATTTTCTTTCCCCATCAGAATTATGGAATCAAAGTAAAGACTGTGGAAGATCACTCTGTCGAAGGAAACATTTCTGACGTCACTGTGAATTCAGTTTAGAAATTCAACACTGGAGGTAACATTATTTGTTTTTATAGTACAACATGAAAACAAGTTTTGATAAAACAGTAATAAAGCACCATCACACAAACAAGATCCCGACACGTTAAAAAAGCTAACAGGCAGAAATGTACTTGGAACCGTGGCGTGTAAAGTCACGCTTGCTTCCACACATGCCGCGGTGTCCAATGAGCTGGGACACAAGCTGTAGCAGTTAAGATTTAGATGCGCTCACAGACACAGAGAGGTAGCCAAACCATAAAACTTCTATGACAAAAGTCATCTTAACAAAACAACCAAAACTGCTGGGTCTAGCAGCCCTGGTTTGTCTGCTGCTCCATCATCCAAATTTCACAGACGTTTGAACCTTTGCAGATGCACTTTGCAAATCAACCAAACCTACGATGGTGCTCCTTTTCGTTTTTTAAGTGAGACCTCTAAATTTTGGTTACGCTTTGTTCAAAATCAGTTGGGAATATTTAATCAAAGTACCGAATAAAACGTGGAACCAAAAATTTTCAGCTTTTGAAGTCTTTTGTAAGTTGCAGTCATTGAAAATACAGCTTGAGGCAGCCTGGGTGTCTTAGTCGGTTGAGCATCCGACTCTTGATTTTGGCTGAGGTCATGGTCCTGGGGTTGTGGGATCGAGCCCTGTACTGGGCTCCGCACTGAGCGTGGAGCCTACTTAAGATTCTCTTCCCCCTCCCCCCACTCGTGTTCTCTCGAAGGAAGGAAGGAAGAGAGAAAGAAAGGGAGAGAGAGAGAAAGAGAGAAAGAAAGAACAGAAGAAAGAAAAAGGAAGAAAGAAAGAAAGAAAGAAAGAAAGAAAGAAAGAAAGAAAGAAAGAAAAAAGGAGATACAGCTTGTAAACAGGAAGACAGTGACACTGATCTGCACCAAAGCAACGGAGGAAATGAAATAATGAGACCCCAGGAGCCTGCATGGCACACGCAGATTAAAGCTGAAGTCTTATGGCTGGATTCAACACTATCCCAACTCGTGTCAAAAGAGTCTTCTAGGGGCACCTGGGTGGCTCAGTTGGTTGAGCATCTGACTTCGGCTCAGGTCATGATCTCGTGGTTTGTGGGTTTGGGCCCTGCGTTGGGCTCTGTGCTGATAGCTCGGAGCCTGGAGCTTGCTTCGGATTCTGTGTCTCCCTCTCTCTCTGGCCCTCCCTAGCTCGTGCTCTGTCTCTATCAAAAATAAACATTAAAAAAAATTAAAAAAAAGAGTCTTCTAACAAAGCCCTTTACTTTAAAAAAAGTTTATTTATTTTGAGACAGAGCAAGCACACGTGGGGGGGGAAGGGGAAGAGAGAGAGGAAAAGAAATCCCAAGCAGGCTCCTCACTGCAGCACAAAGCCTGAAACGGGGCTTGAACTCATGAACCATGAGATTATGACCTGAGCCAACATCAAGAGTTGGACGCTCAACCGACTGAGCCACCCAGGCACCCCAAAGCCCTTTACTTTTTATTGGATAAGTGGATATTCTGCGATGGAATGAATGAAATTGATGAGACCTATAAATTTACAATATCCAAATTTGGTGTAGCATTCAAAAAAATCATAGAGACAACTTATTTGATAGGTTTTAGTTTATGATAATATTGGAATACCTTTGTACTCATAAAGGCAAACAAGACAAAACAAAAAACCAGTACCTGTGAAAACATCTGGCCTGAGATAGTTATACATTTCAAAACAAAAAACCCTGGACTTGTATCTTACATTTAGCAGAACTTGTTCTGAGCTTACTAGTATTTCCTCAATTAAAAACGTTACAGCCTACAGGGAGAGCCAATCAAAGGTTTCAGTTTCACATTCATCAACCATACAATACCACTTTGAAGAAGATTCCAGACCACTGTATAAAAAAATAAAATTAAGACACTGAAAAATGGATATTATTTTTTAGAATACCAGTGACATGGTGTTACCAACACTGAGAAACTAAGATATTATGTACCAAGAATGCAATGACTGAGTAATAAATATTAAGCTGTTTTAATGGACCCAAGTATTTTTTTTCTAAAAAGAATTTCAGGTTTTGCAATTTCTGAATTATGCTACTTTAAAGGTCCACCACTATAGTCAGATCAATCCGTTAATTGATATGCAACTATTTCAAAAATGATTTAATTTTAATTAATTTTAACACCCCTTTCTACAGCTCACCTGTGTACCAATCTTGATCCTAACTTATCTGGTCACCCTGGCTATAGCTCTGGCCACTGGAGAGGAATACAGCCATAGTCACAGCGTGAGGTGGGGGTGTGATCCTAACCTTGCTCCCCTCTCTTCTGCTGACTGGTGGGTGCTGGCTAATCCCAACCAGAAGCCAGAGGGCCAGGCTAGGCAGTCCATACTGGGCAGGCCTGGGGGCAGAAAGGGGAGGATGCAGAAAGGCATCAGAGACTGTGTGGTTCCAAAGGATAAAGAACTCTGGCCAAGGGAGAGGGTGGGTGTCAGAGACCCGTTTCCACCCAGGAAGGAGGGGGCCAGCGACTGGGTAGAGGTTTTCAGACAGAACATCTGAGGACCTCAGGGACGTTGCAGATGAAGAGCAGTCCCTGTAGAGGCACACTGGTCACTAAAGAGCACCCTGACGCAGGGCACAGCACCCTGTATGATGTGTGTGGCATTGGGTTCTTGGGCCTAGTGAAAGATCCCAGAAAGGATCCAAGGGATTCACTCTTTATCTCACAAGTGGGTCCGTAAATCAGTTTAATGTGAAAGTAAAGAAACAACCTGACTAATGACCCAGGCTGAGAGCTCAGGCCACACTGGTTATGTGGATATGCAGGTGCCATTGGGCTGACCAGTGCTCGCCCTGGAAATAAAGAAGAAAGGAGCAGATCCATCGTACAGACTTTAGACCCATTAGGCCAGTGATTCCCACCCAGGGCCATTGTGTCCCCCGGGGCCATGTGGCAGCCATGTCTGCAGACGTTCTGGAGTGTCATAGCCGGGGGCTGGGATGGCCGTTACTTGCATCTAGTGGGCAGAGGTCAGGGATGCTGCTAAACACACTGCACAAGTCACAGGCCGGTCACCACAACCGAGTGACCAGCCTCAAATGTTACAGGACAGAGCACGACAGAGCCCGCTTTAGGCTGAGTGTTTAACTCCCTTTCTGCCTTGGCCAAAACGGTTAAGGATTCAATGGATATTCATGTGTAAAACAGCTTGAGCCCTGCTACTGATGTTAAGAATTCCTATGAGTAGAAAATAGGGCACCTGGCTGGCTCAATGGGTGAAGAATGTGACTCTTGATCTTGAGGTTGTAAGTTCGAGCCCCATATGGAGGGCAGAGTTTATATTAAAAAAAGAAAAAGAAGAAGAAAAAGAAAAAGAAAAAGAAAAAGAAAAAGAAAAAGAATTCCCATGAGTGTTATTTTTGGGCCTAGATCGGAAATGTCATCCACAAAACTCGGCTGATGGCCACCACTACCCCTGTAGTCCGAGACTTCGGGGAGCCAGTGATCCTGAGACCCTACCTCCCACCTTCACTGTTCAATATTCACAGGTTCCCACCTCTCCCCAGTGACACCCCTTCCTCAGTCACATCTTGTCGTCCTCCTCTGCTCAAGGTACTGTACATAACTGAACGGACTCACCCAGGTTACCTTGGAAGGTTTGGGACATAATCTGTGCTTCACCTGGACCCTCCCCACAGAGCCCTTGATCTGCTCTGCACTCAAGGGAGGCTGAGCCTTCCCGTGCCCTAGAGGCACCCCAAGCCGGTCCGCCTCCAGTCCCGTCACGTCACTCACGCAGTTCTCGCAGAGCAGAGAACACTGTGCTGTCGACTCCCCCTCCCACCAGAACAGATTCTACGAGCAGTGGGTCGGGAGACGGCCTTCCAACATCTGCTGAATGGCCGCCAAGAAAGAGACCGTATATTCTGACTCTCCCTTAGGGGAACAAAACACCTAGCCCAATTCTTCCTCTTCTTACCTTCAGATCAGACATTCGCATGGCAGCCTGCCTCCTGTTCTCGTAAATAAACCTGCACCTTTCCGCTCAGGCGCTGCTGACCGCTGTGTCCATGCTAGCCCCAACCCAGAGGTAAGGAGCTAGCAGAGAGCACGTGGCCCACAAGCTCTATCATCTGGCCTTATCCAGAAAAGGTCTGCAACCTCTGCTTTGGATTCCCGTTACCTTTCTTCATGCCGTGTTTTCTCTTTCAGGAATGTTCTTCTTGCTGTCTATGGCAGGTCATCAACAATTTGGACTCTCTCAGCTCAAGAAGACGGGAGACTGTGCTGGGAAATCCCTCCACCTATGACTCAGGTGCCAGTCCTCATGGTGAACTACTTCTGTACCTTCCAGCAATCGCTGCAGCATGAACCATGTCCCAGTCTGGGAGTGACTTCCTATTGGCATAGTTACGGGGACCTAGGGATTCCCTTTGGAGCTGAGCAACTGTAGGATCAGTTTTTCCAGAATTGACAGTCTCTCTGACAGAACAGAAAATTTTAAATCCCAGCCACCTAACAATTTCACTCCGGAAACTCCTAGGGTTATCAATAAAGGTCAGAGTCCTGGCTTTTACATCCGAGAAAAGCAGACAAGCAAGCTGCCTGGTGGGCTGACCTAATTGCCCTCCTGCACCGGGCTCCCTGGCAGCCAAGGTGGGAGAGAGTTCCGGCTCCTCTCCATGTCTCTCTGTGGGGCTGGCAGGGCGAGCAGCTGGAATTCAGCTGAAGAAGCACCTCCTCCAGGCAGCTTTTCCAATTCCTGCCCAATTCCAAGACGTGTACAGGTCTGTCTCTCCTTGGGAGAGAGCAGGTACACGATAAATGGTTGTTGAGTCAAACTCAAAAATGGCATCAACAAATTCTTCATTTAGATATAAAAACAAAATTCGAGTTCAGCTAAAAAAAAAAAAAAAACAACCGGACACATACTTGTGGAGAGGTACAAAGTTATCCCCAAGCCCTGTGTTAACCCATTTGAAGGACTGTGAGAACAGTCCCCTTATACGTCTGCAACACTGTTGACTTACGTCAGGAACAATACTTCTGTGGAAAGAACAACTACCCGGAAGACTGTGACTCCATTCAACAAGTGACACAAAACAAATCACAGCAGTCTATACCACCTACACCACTTGGAGCCAGTGCCTGGTGAAGCCGTTCTAGTCTAAAACCCTCGCAACAAAGCATGCTCAAATTTGACCCTTTCAATATGTATAGCCATCTCAAATCTCAGTCATAAAATTAAAAAACCCCCCACAAAACCTCTCTGTCTCTCTCTGTCCCAAAAATAAATAAACGTTGAAAAAAAAAAAATTAAAAAAAAAAAAAAGGGGGCGCCTGGGTGGCGCAGTCGGTTAAGCGTCCGACTTCAGCCAGGTCACGATCTCGCGGTCCGTGAGTTCGAGCCCCGCGTCGGGCTCTGGGCTGATGGCTCGGAGCCTGGAGCCTGTTTCCGATTCTGTGTCTCCCTCTCTCTCTGCCCCTCCCCCGTTCATGCTCTGTCTCTCTCTGTCCCAAAAATAAATAAACGTTGAAAAAAAAAATTTTTTTTAAAACCCCCCCCACAAAACCTAACCTTAAATTTAAGTAGAAACCCATCTGACATACCTTCACAAACACTCTCCAGAGAGAAGTACGTGGTCTGACTGATGTAGCCAGCACCTTCCATCAGCGACGTCACACAGCCAATCAGCACTCGGGGGCTGGAGTCTGACAGCCCTCTGCTGCGGTTTTTGCTGTCATCTTCCCATTTATCAGAGACAGCTTCCACCTGTAAGACAAACGAACCACTATTCAAACCGTAAGAGGACCACAAGAAAAGCAACTGCAGGCCAGTATCTCTTAGGACACAAGTGTTAAAAATGCTCCATCAAATACCAGCAAACCCAATATGGCAGTGCTTTAAAAGGGTTACACACCACACTCAAGGCGGGTTTATTCAGAATGCAAAGACAGTTCAACATACCAGTCAATAGAATACACCTCACACTGGGTAGGCATTTGACAAAACAACATCCTCTCACGAGAGAACACTCAAACCAGGAACGTAAGGAGACTTCCTCAACATGATAAAGCCCATGTATGAAAAACCCACAACTAGCATCACACTCAATGACGGTAAGACTAAAAGCTTTTTCCCTAGGATAAGGAACTAGGCAAGGATTTTGCTACCTCTGTTTAAAAAAAGTGTTGAACGATATTTAGTCTTCCAATCCATGAGCACGGAATGTTTTTCCATTTCTTTGTATCTTCTTCAATTTCCTTCATAAGCTTTCTATAGTTTTCAGCATACAGATCTTTTACATCTTTGGTTAGGTTTATTCCTAGGTATTTTATGATTCTTGGTGCAATTGTGAATGGGATCAGTTTCTTTATTTCTTTCTGTCGCTTCATTATTGGTGTATACAAATGCAACCCAAAACAATCTACACATTCAATGCAATCCCAATCAAAATTGCACCAGCATTCTTCTCAAAGCTAGAACAAACAATCCCAAAATTTGTATGGAACCACAAAAGACCCCGAACAGCCAAAGTAATTTTGAAGAAGAAAACCAAAGCAGGAGGCATCACAATCCAAGACTTTAGCCTCTACTACAAAGCTGTAATCATCAAGACAGCATGGTATTGGCACAAAAACAGACACATAGATCAATGGAATAGAATAGGGACCCCAGAACTGGACCCACAAATGTATGGCCAACTAATCTTTGACAAAGCAGGAAAGAATATCCAATGGAAAAAAGACAGTCTCTTTGGCAAATGGTGGGAGAACTGCACAGCAGCATGCAAAAGGATGAAACTAGACCACTTTCTGACATCATACACAAAAATAAACTCCAAATGGATGAAAGACCTGAATGTGAGACAGGAAACCATCAAAACCCCAGAGGAGAAAGCAGGAAAAAACCTCTTTGACCTCAGTGCAGCAATTTCTTACTCAACACCTCTCCAAAGGCAAGGGAATTAAAAGCAAAAATGAACTATTGGGACCTCATCAAGATAAAAAGCTTCTGCACTGCAAGGGAAACAGTCAAAAAAACTAAAAGGCAACTGACGGAATGAGAAAAGATTATTTGCAGATGGCATATCAGATAAAGGGCTACAAAAATCAGTTGTATCTGTATGCATTTGCAATGATCCTTCCAAAAAAGGAAATTAAGAAAACAATTCCATGGGGCATCTGGGTGGCTCAGTCAGTTAAGTGTCCAACTTTGGCTCAGGTCATGATATCATGGTTTTGAGTTCGAGCCCCGTGTCAGGCTCTGCACTGGCAGCACAGAGCCTGCTTGGGATTCTCTCTTTCCCCCCCACTCTCTTCACCCCTCCCACATGCACGTGTGCTCTCTCTCTCTCAAAATAAACTTAAAAAAGAAAAAACAATTCCATTTACAATACCATCAAAAAGAGTAAAACACTTAGAAATAAAGTTGACCAGGGGCACCTGAGTGGCTCAGCTGGTTAAGCGTCTGACTTCGGTTCAGGTCATGATCTCAATTTGTGCGTTCGAGCCCCACGTCGGGCCCTTATGCTGACAGCTCAGAGCCTGGAGCCTGCTTCAGATTCTGTGTCTCCCTCTCTCTCTGCCCTTCCCCCCTCACACTCTGTCTCTCTGTCTCTGTCTCTCTCAAAAATAAATAAACATTAAAAAAAAAGCAAATGCAATTAAAAAAAGGATAAATTGGATTTCACCAAAATTTAAAACCTCTGTGTACTGAAGGACACTATCAAGAAATACTGGAAAACTAACCCACAGAATATGAAAAATATTTTGTAAATCACGTATCTGTTAAGAGATTAACATCCAGAATGTGTAAATTCTTTTTTTTTTTAATTTTTTTTTTTTTTTTTTTGTATTTGAAAGAGAGAGAGCACGTGTGCGTGAGCAGAGGAGGGGCAGAGAGAGAGGGAGACACAGAATCTGAAACAGGCTTCAGGCTCTGAGCTGTCAGCACAGACCCTGATGCGGGGCTTGAACTCACGAATCGTGAGATCAGGACCTGAACCGAAGTCGGCCGCTTAACTGACTGAGCCACCCAGGAACCCCTGTAAAGAACTTCTCTAACTGAACAAGAAAATAAACAAGACAAGGGGCGCCTGGGTGGCGCAGTCGGTTAAGCGTCCGACTTCAGCCAGGTCACGATCTCGTGGTCCGTGAGTTCGAGCCCCGCGTCAGGCTCTGGGCTGATGGCTCGGAGCCTGGAGCCTGTTTCCGATTCTGTGTCTCCCTCTCTCTCTGCCCCTCCCCCGTTCATGCTCTCTCTCTGTCCCCCCAAAAAAAAACCAAAAAAACAAAACAAAACAAAAAAAAAAAGTTGAAAAAAAAGAAAATAAACAAGACAATTAAAATATAGTTAAAGGACTTAAATAAACATTTCTCGAAAGATGACAGATAAATGGCCAATAAGCATATGAAAAGATGTTCAACATCAATGATTATTAGGGAAAGGTAAGTCAAAACCACAACAAGATACCACTTCGTATCCACTAGGATGGCTACTGTCAAAAGAACATAAAGTAACTGCAATTCCTGTGCATTACTGGGGGGAATATAAAATGGTGTCTCTGCTACGGAAAGTTTACGGTTTCCTCAAAAAGCTAAACACAACATTACCATATGACTCTGCAATTCCACTCCAAGGTATATACCCAAAAGAGAATAAGGACTCTAAGACACCTGTTCACAGCAGCACTATTCACAATAACCAAAAGGTAGAAACATCCCAAGTGTTCATCAACAGGTAGGTGTACAGGGGCGCCTGGGTGGCTCAGTCGGTTGAGCGTCCGACTTCGGCTCAGGTCATGATCTCACGGTTCATGAGTTCGAGCCCTGCGTCAGGCTCTGTGCCGACGGCTCGGAGCCTGGAGCCTGCTTCAGATTCTGTGTCTCCCTCTCTCTGCCCCTCCCCTGCTCATGCTCTGTCTCTCTCAAAAATAAATATCATAAAATTAAAATACAACAGATAAGTGTACAAAGTGTAGTCTATACACACAATGGAATATTATCCAACCATCAAAAGTAATGAAATTCTGATACATGTTACATGGATAAACCTTGAAAATACTCTGCAAAGTTTGATAATGCAAACACAAACGGGCAACAATCACATGCTTCCACTGAGATACTAGAAGTGTCAAATTCAGAGACAGGAAGTAGAATAGCAAATTCTTGTTTTAGGGATGATGAAAAAGTTGTGAAAATAGTGGTAACGGGTGCACAACATGAATGTTCTTAATGTCACTGGACTGTACACCTACAGATGATTAAAATGGTAAATGTATGTATATTTTACCACAATAAAACCTACATAAAAATATGCAAAGAAATTGCACATCCTTGGGGCGCCTGGGTGGCGCAGTCGGTTAAGCGTCCGACTTCAGCCAGGTCACGATCTCGCGCTCCGTGAGTTCGAGCCCCGCGTCAGGCTCTGGGCTGATGGCTCAGAGCCTGGAGCCTGTTTCTGATTCTGTGTCTCCGTCTCTCTCTGCCCCTCCCCCGTTCATGCTCTGTCTCTCTCTGTCCCAAAAATAAATAAACGTTGAAAAAAACGTTGAAAAAAAAATAAAAAAAAGAAATTGCACATCCTTCATGAAATCAGTCAATACTACCTAACATTGGTAAATCAAGCAAAGGTGTAAACATATTGTTCAAGTGAATCAGGAATCTACTGATGAGCTAAGAACAGAAACCAAGAAAAGACATTTCCCCAGAGAAGACATCCAGATGGCCAACAGACACTTGAAAAGATTCTCAACATCACTCATCGTCAGGGAAATACAAATCAAAACCATGAGATACCACCTCACACCTATCAGAACGGCTAAAATCAACAACACAAGAAACAAAAGGTGTTGGCGAGGCTGTGGAGAAACGGGAACCCTTCTTGCATTGTTGGTCGGAATGGAAACTGGTGCAGCCACCGTAGAAGACGGTGTGAAGGTTCCTCGAAAAGTTAAAAACAGAATTACCCTATGATCCAGGAATCACACTACTGGGTATTTACCCCCAAAACACAAATACCCTAATTTAAAGGGATACACGTATCCCCCAGCTTTATAGCAGCATTAGCTACAAGAGCCAAAACATGGAAGGAGCTCAAGTGTCCACCGACCGATGAACGCGTAAAGAAGATGTAGTAAATACATACAGCGAAAATTTACTCAGCCATAAAAAAAAATGAAATCTTGTCATTCGCAACAACATGGGTAAAGATAAGGCATAACGGTAAATAAAAGAAGTCACCTAGGAAAAGACATACAATAGGATTTCACTCATATGCAGAATTTAAAACACAAAACAAATGAGCTAAGGGGGAAAAAAGGAGAGACAAACCAAAATATAAGACTCATAACTATACCAAAAAAACCGATGGTTACCAGATGGGAGGTGGGTGGGTGGGGGATAGGTGAAATAGGTGATGGGAATTAAAGTTTAAAAAATTAAATAAAAATGAAAATGACACTTAAATCCTAGTAGTGTCTCTGCTAAAGGTACAGCAAGCCAAGGATGGGGGAGTGGGAGAAATGAAGACTGGAGAGGCTGATGAAGTGAGATCATGCTTGAAAAAGAAGCTATGCAGAAAATTCTGCCCAGAGAAAAAGTTCCTGTTTTAAAAGCTTATGGCAGATTGTGGTAACAGTTGCAAAACTCTCCGAATATATTAAAACCCCGAATTGTACACTTTAAATGGGTGAACTGTACAATATTAATTACATCTCAATAAAACTCTTACCAAAAAGAAAACTCTAATTTCCCCATATAGAAACTTTA